CTTACTAAAGCTGCCTCTTCCAATTAGATGCACCAATGACTTCCCCATAGTCCAATATGCTGATGACACACTCATAATCATGGAAGCATGCAGTAGACAGCTGATGACTCTGAAGGCTCTTCTACATTCATTCAGTGAATCAACAGGATTAAAGGTAAACTATAGCAAATCAATCATGGTATCCAACAATCTTCAAGAACAAAGGCTAGAACACCTTGTAACAACTTTCAACTTTGAAAAGGAGGTTATCCCTAGGCCTTACAAAGCCAAAAGTTATGGACTTCTCCCCCTTGGTCAGTAGGTGTGAAAGGAGGTTAGTTGCAACTTCAACCTTCCTAAACCAGGCTAGAAGACTTGAATTGACCAACTCAGTTTTCTTAGCCTTCCCTACTTTCTGTATGAGCACCTTTGCAGTCCACAAAACAATGATAGCACATATTGATAAATACCGAAAAAATTGCCTTTGGAGGGGGCTGACCTAAATGCAAAACAAAGGCCTAAAGCTACTTGGACTGATGTATGCAAAGCAAAAGAGGACGGAGGACTGGGAGTAATTGACCTTCAAACACAAAATGAGGCATTGCTTCTAAAGCATCTAACGAAATTCTTCAATAGGGAAGACATCCCATGGGTTGCTCTCATTTGGGAAAGCTATTATGAATTTGGAAGCCTGTCATCAAGGGCTAACAAATGATTCTTTTGGTGGAGGGACATCTTCAAGCTCTTAGATAAATTCAAAGGTATGGCAATGGTAAACATCAACAATGCAAAACTTGTTACTTATGGTCAAATATTTGGAATGGAAAAGTGCCAATGTTATCCTACATGGAGCTTCACTCTTTCAGCAAGTCTAATACTACAGTAGCTGGCTGAAGCTAAAAATAGAAACAATATTTTAGATCTCTTCAACTTATCACTCTCCCAAGAAGCATTTAGTCCACTAGCTCAGCTTCAGCAAGACCTAAACTCTCTACAATTGAATGAGAATAATGATTTGTGAACTTGCATTTGGAATTTTGGAAGATTCTCAGTTGCCAAAGCATACAAGCAGCTAAGTGGGCATAGAGTAATACATCCAAGTTTCAAAGGGATATGGAAATGCTCTTGTGCACAAAGTCTTCTCTGGTTAATCTTAAAGGACAAACTTAGCACCAGGGAACTATTGAGAAGGAAGACCATGGAGCTATAGGATTACAATTATGTCCTTTGCAACAACATGACTGAAGAATCACTATTTCACCTCCTTATAAGCTGCCCTTTTGCTGAGGCATGCTGGAACCATATTGGACTTCATGTGAACCATCAGGGTGACCTACTGCAATGCCTTGACAGCTTTAGAAGACAGCTCAAAGTCCCATTGTCGTCATCTTAATGAGCTGGACAATTTGGCATATGAGAAATGGTCTTATTTTCAGTAATAAACCTCCTTCTCTCCAGGAGGCGTCAAGAGCTTTCAAATCTGAATTTGTGATACTTCTGCTTCGCGCAAAAAGGAGCTACTTTCTTAGAATTCAATTATGGTTAAACAACCTTGTTTAATCTTTTGTCTTCTTCTCATTTTTTTCCTCACCTTTTTTGTATCTTGAACCCCCATACCCCTTGGTACTCTTTTTTCTCTATTCTGTACTGCTCCGTACTATTTTATTTTGCTAATAAAATTTTAGTAGGGGCGCGCCCCTCCTGTTTCCCGTAAAAAATGACAGAAATGAACATCCCTACATCAACCGAAATTTGGTAGCCAGCTAGGTTGTATTGGCAATTTTGAGCTTATTACTGGTCCATCAAACCCATGCTCGTGTATGTGTTATGAAAACATAAGGTTTGTGTATGGATAAATACAAGGCCCACATGTAGTTATTTTTTATTTTTGTTGATATTCTAACAAAACTTATATTTACTCTCTCTTATATTTATCTAGGTGCGATAAACTTTAATTACCAATAACTTTATCTGATTTCCCATCCTCATTCATATAGATTCTCCCTTTTCGTTGAACCTCCGTATGTATTTTACATGTGTTTTGTTGAAATCTTGACTTCAACTATGCGTTTAACATGTAAATTGAGATCCTCATTGCTTACTGCATATAATCCCTCCATCCTAAAAGAATGAAAATCTCGGTTCTCAAGGAGTCAAATAATCCTAAGTTTGACTAGGTTGACAAAAAATAGTATCAACAGTTGTATTTTAAAAAATAGATTTATAATGAAAATATATTTTAAAATTAATCTAGTAATACTTATTACACAATATAAATAGTAGTTTTTTATATATATTTGATCGAACTCAGTATTGTTTGACTTCTCTTGATGCAAGAATTTTATTCTTTTTTGACGGAGGGAGTATATACATATGCACATGGTTCACATGGTGACACATAATATGTATACCTGGAGTTTTTTTTTCTTATATCAATATAATGGCACAAGTGGGTGATTTAGAGACATATATATGATTTTTTGAAATTATTTTTTGGTCATGGCAAGGCAGCTAATTTAGGTGGAGATTTAAGGGCAACTGTAGTTTATTTTTAATAATTAAATTGGTAGATAATTTATATATATAATTAGAGGGTTACTTTAGTTTATTTTTCATAATGGTGTTAGTGAGTAGATTACGTGGTTATTTACATTCTTTTTATAATTGAAGAAGGGGTTGTTTTAGGGCTTGTTTGGATCCCTTGGGTTAACAGCTAGTTGCTAAACTTCTCTTGAGGATCCAAACATGTGGACTAATTGATGGGCTAAAGTTTAGCCAAGGTCTAGACTAGTTGTTAGCTCACTGGTCCATCAAATCCAATTATCAGGGGCTAAAGTTCCACCGGATCACAAAAAAAAAAGATACAAAGAATACCCATATTATTTGTGACACAAAGAATATATATTGTGTATACTAAAATATTTAGTTCTACCAGTGCTATTGGCTCTTATTGTTTTGGAGAAAATTAATTTTGGAATATCCTGTCATAGTGTCCTGCCTCCGCGACTGCACACAGGGGCAACCACACGGCGGGGACAGAAGGTGTCCGTGCGCGGGAAGTTGACGTGCCAAATCAACTCAGGGGTATTAACAACTTTCTGTTGTGATGCTAGCTAGTATTTATTAGCCCAGGGATCTAAACATGACTAAATTTATCGCTAGTCAGCTGATCACTAGTCCTATCTAATCACTAGTCTTAGTTTATCCAAACAGGGCCTTAGAATCCTTTGACTATTATTGTCAATAATTGCTAGTCTATTAAATTGATGGTTGGATTCCTAATCTTTCATAGGATTTTTGAGTTTCATTTGAGAAGTACGTACGGGTTTAGACCTAACCCAAAGGGTAAAGGTTCTAGACCTGATCTCTGGGCCCCATTACAACACCTAAGTTGAATGTACACTTCCAATCGTTGTTATAACTTGTTTACACTTTTATGAACTTATTATGATTTGATCCAACTTAACCATATTAATATGATTTGTTCATTTTTCTTGTGCATGACGCAGTGGCCTTTTATTTGACTATATGTTTTCAAGTACATTCACGCATGCTCCAAGTACTTCTCTTCAGAACTTTAGAGTATGCTTTGTTGTACAGAAAATTCAGTCAAGAAGGATGCTAATTGGGAAGCCGCAAAACAACCACTTCGGACACAAATTAGGTGAAACACAAGGATTATTTGACCGCCACAGCTCAATGCCATTCATGCAACTGTGGCAGCATCATTGACAAACTATTCAAGCTAGCTAAACCTTTGAATTAATTTTTTTACCAGCATGCCTGGCCTGCCTGACGGTTAGGTCAAAAATCATTAGGTTCTACGAATATTTTATTGTTTACCCGGGAAACATGTGCAAGCATTCCTGCCTAATCTTTGCTTACTTCCCAGGGTGCTGTCTCCAAAGCTTAGTGTTTCATTGGCTTTTTGAGAAAAAACAGAAGTGCAAAAAGCTACATGCTTTGCCAGCAGAAGTCTCCCTGATTGATTGGTTATTCTTTGCTTGAGGTAGACTAGCTCTGGCCAGATGGATTCAGTCCAAATTTGTAAACTATTATGCACCATGTTGTTCTGATTCAAGATAGTTCAGTGTCGATCATAGGTTCAGCAGCTTGAGTGAATAATATAAACATCTGAATGTCATACTATTATATGCTTCTTTTGGAAAAACACAGCAATGATTTAAGAATAATAATACATAAAATGTGATTCTATAGCATTCATGTACGTTTCAGTTTTGGACTGGATCTTATCCCAAAGAATAATATATATACACTAAAAAATACATGAGTCGAGGAATATTATTTGGCGTGTCTGTATTTTTCGTGATTTGTTTATTTCAGTGATTGAGCGCAAAAGGAAGGAGGTGGTTCACCTCCTCTCCAGCAGAGATGTGTACATCCAACAATTCGCCCATCTCTCCATGTCACTCCCCCTCTCTCGTCTAATCCCAGTAGTGCAAGGGTGACAAATTGTTCAGTCAAACACGCTTCATGTAGCGAAGAATCTAAAGGGTGGGCAGTGCTATTTCAACAAAGCCTCCTCCTCCTCTCTCTCTCTCTCACACACACACTGGAAGGTGTTGCCCCTTTTTCCCCTTGCCTCCTCCAAGCACAAGAAGCTAAGGTAGCTACCAAACCACTCTCTCCTACAAGTCCTCAAATCTTAGGACTTAGGATCAGCATCAGCTTCCCTCTCATGAGGCATCCCTGCATATGATTGCCACAAGTCATTATAAAAGGGAAGCCACCAATAAGTTCTCTCTGTCTCTGCATGCAGCTAGGTCCCTCCTCCTCTCAACTTCTTGTTCTTCTTCTTCTAACTGATCATCTCCTACCTTTTCTTTTCCAATCCCTACACCTACACCTACAAACACCCACCCAGAACTTTAAGGTAGCTGCTAGTGCTAGTGCATGGCTATATATATGCATGTATAAGTAGAGTATAGGTTGCACCCTCCAAGGGGTTCATCATTCATCACTCACCTTAGAAGGTGCATGCAAGGAGACAGGCCACAATAATGTCTCAGAGGAAAGGGGCCATGGCTGCTGCAGTGACGAGCAGCAAGCACCATGAGGATCAGGAGATGATGATGGAGCTCAGGAGAGGCCCCTGGACGCTTGAGGAAGACAACCTCCTCATGAACTACATTGCTTGCCACGGCGAGGGCCGCTGGAATCTCCTCGCCCGCTGCTCCGGTGAGTATGTTGTATGTAATCCGATTCCATTGCTCACTCTCGAGTCTCGATTAATTAAGCTAGGGAATCTCCTCGTCTTGATGTGCTGCATATGCTTCAATTAGGGTTGAAGAGGACCGGCAAGAGCTGCCGGCTCAGGTGGCTCAACTACCTCAAGCCGGACATCAAGCGCGGCAATCTCACGCCGGAGGAGCAGCTCCTTATCCTTGAGCTCCATTCCAAGTGGGGAAACAGGTGGTCGAGGATCGCGCAGCACCTGCCAGGGCGGACGGACAACGAGATCAAGAACTACTGGCGGACGCGGGTGCAGAAGCAGGCGCGGCAGCTCCGGGTGGACGCCAACAGCGCCGTCTTCCGCGACGCCGTTCGCTGCTACTGGATGCCGCGCCTGCTGGAGAAGATGGCCGCCACGTCGTCCGCGCACCACCACCACGGCGAGCTGCCACCGCCGCCGCCGCTGCACCCCTCGCACGTCGCCTGCATGGCCTCGTCTTCCTCGCCGATCCACGGCGGCAGCCATGAGCAGGACCCGACGACCCACGCGCCGGCGGCGGGCAGCGGCAGCCACGGCGGCCACTACTACCAGCGGTACCCGGTCGACCCGAGCCCGAGCACGTCGACGACGTCCGGGTCAACCTCGGCAGCCGCTCTCCCGCCGGTGCCCTGCTTCTCCGAACTGAGCTGGGTCGACCAGTACGGCTACGGCCCTTACAGTTACACCGCCGACCTCGACGGCGCCGGCGTGTCGTTCGACGACGCGGCCGCGCTGGAGAGCCTCGGTCTGGACGGGCTGGACCTCGGGCCGGCCGACAGCGACGTGTACTCGGACACGACGCTGCTGGACTACCTCAACTCAACGTGCGCCGGCGGCACCATGATGACGATGATGGGCGGCGGCGGCAGTGTCGGTCACAACAGCTGCGGCGGCGCCATGGGCGGTGGCGGCGACGCCGACTACGGGCGCCCGTCATCGTCGTGGCGGACGGACGAGCTCGTCGTCCAGGCGTCGGCGAGGAGGCTCGGTGATCATCAACATCAATGGGGAGGAGGAATCTAGAAGCAATCGAATCGAGAGGTTGCTAGCTCGATAAAGCCTAGCTATAGACTATAGCTAGAAGGATGATGATGGGTGCAGCAGGTTGCTTCTTGCGACGTCTCTCTCCCAAAGCGATGATCGAGATGTCACACTAGTTAAATTAGTGGAGCTAGCTAGATGCGTCAGTGGCGATCCAAAATCCATCTTAGGCGCCGTTCCGTTGATCGATCGATCGATCGAGATATTTCTTGCTGTTATGTTAATTTGATCGATCGTTCGATCGTGGTTTGTGTAGTAGAGATGTAGTTTGATGGTGCACGTACGCATGTATGTGCGTACACGTGTTGTCACTTGTCACTTTTATTAGTGGCCCGTATAATTCACGTACATGTGTGTGTTATTCCTTCGATTGGTTTTTCACAATTCATTCATGCGTTCTGCTTCGTCCGTTACTCAAAGAGATGAAAGGTCGTGCTGGGTTCTTCGATCGATCAGGACTTGAGGAGAGGTCGTTGTCCCAAAGTGATCGATCGACCGAGAGGTCCGCGAGATGGATGTGGTGTGGTGTGTGTTGGTGGGGTTGCGTACGTGGTGGGTGGTGTAATAACGTCGTCTCTCAGATCAGATTCAGATGGATGGATCGATATGTACGTGAGCGATCGGGATGGTCTCGATCGTACGTGCCTGCTCGCCAGGGAAAGTCGGCAATGACATGTCGCTTCGAGATCGATTCTCTCCGTCGTCGTCGCCGGCCGTGTGGTTGCCAAGTTACAGCTGGTGGCAACTGCTTTTTGGAGGGATCGGGATGGGATGATCGATCAAGCTCACTCGGGTTTAGACTGCTTTTGTCCGTGGATTTATTAGAGTGTAATAATTCATGGCCACGGAGAGAGCTCTTGGATTTTGAACCCACAATAGGGGCGTACGTACCCCCCTTTTGTTCCCTCAGCTAGGGTTATCTTTTAACCCCTAGCTAAGCCTACTTAGCTTCACTTCACACACCAATTTTTTCCTTAAAGTACGTAGTGATATTCATCAAGCCTCATAGACTTCAATCAACCTAAATGGTATATAGGTAGTCCTTTAATCGACTGCGTAAGACACGAGTTCAAGTCCTTGAATTGACGATTTGACATGGGTCCTCATATTGTTTTGGATTTTTCCGAGATTTAATGGTGTTGTTCTTAGGCGACGTATGTGCCGATTGCGAGACGCTTGTGGTGTGTCATCAATCTCGAGGTACGAGTCTTTTGGAAGTGCTTATAGGGGTAAGACGTATGTGCATGTATAAGTGTTTGCGCCTGTACCGTGATTCAAAAAAAAGAAGATACATGATGGTTGTGGATTATAGGGAAGAGACTCGAAGTGGAAGGGCTCATGGGATAGCCTGCTGTTCTTTTGTTGCAGAAGTGCTTTCTAGTTGGTGTTGTTCACACTCTGTTTTGGAGCTTTCCTGAACATGTTATAAGGCCTCGTTTGACACAGCTTATGGAGGATGACCTCTCCTGAGAAAATTATCGTGTATTCCCTCCATCTCAAAAAGAATGCAATATTCTAGGTTTGGATAAGTCGAACTTTTCTAAGTTTCATCAAGTTTTTAGAAAACATTATCAATATATATGTCTCCAATTAGATTTACTATAAAAAAGACATTCCATAATAAATTGAATAAGATTTATTCGGTATCATAAACGTTGTGTAATTTTTTTATAGATTTTAGTCAAACTTATTGTTTGATTTGTCGAGAAGTGAGAATTGCGTTTTTGGAGACGGAGGGAGTACTTTCACTGATGGTGCATCATCATCGCCTGCCTTGATGCGACTATGCAAGGTCGACCTAATACAAAGATGATTCGTCATCTCCCTGTCACCATTTTTTTTTTTGGGGGTAATCATGTTAAGTTCTAAGTGGTACGCCTTGGCGCCTAGATCTGGTCTCTAACAACCTTATATTTTCAACACAGATCAGGACACTTATTAGTACAAGTTTGAAGACATATTTTGAACAAAGAACCATAAAATCTAACTTGAAATATCTTATTTTGAACAAAGAACCATAAACAATGACTCTTGGCTACTGTACAAAAATTTATTAATTTCTAATTCTGAAAAGTTTTGCCTTTTGGTAGGCTGGTAGCAGTCGTACCATCCTTGTGAAGAAAATGCCGATCGTTCCATAATGAAGAAAATAAGTACTAACACATTATATCCCATCAAATATGATGGGAGAGCAAATATTTTATGGATGGGGAAATGCATATGTATTTTGGACTGGTTCCAAAGCACTGACCTTGCGACATGTCCAATGTTTTTGAGTTGTTCGTTGAATTCGGCATGAAGACTGCACTTTGGCTCCAACGTTCAAGGGAAGTCATTAGGGAAGAAGACGATGAAAGAATCTAGATAGAATATTATGTATTTTTTTATTTCAGAATTTTTCATGTGTAACTTCGGATGTACTGTGCTGAGTTTTAATACAGCCTCTTCCTTTCGGAAAAAAAATATCGTACTTTAATGGATGGGGAAAGGCAGAAAAGAAAATTCTACCTGTAGTTGATTCCAACTTGAAAAATGACTTGATAAGACCCATGGTGCTTTCAAGCTCACTGTGCTAGTAGACTTCGGCCTTGTTTAGTTCTTCCCCAAAAGTTTACACCATATCCCATCGAATGTTTGGATACATGCATGGAGTATTAAATATAGACTAAAAAAATAACTAATTGCACAGATTGTGACTACTTTCTTCTGAAAGAGAATGAACGGAAATAAAAGTGTTGTGATCAGATGATAAAGGGTGAGCCTGATTGGAGAGTATGATAAGTTAAGGTGGACTCCGGCCCTTTCAATTACCCCCTTTATTTTTTTATCTAAAAACCGTGGGAGAGTGCCTCTACAGTGCAGAGGAAAGCGAAAAAGAGGAGGGAATAGAAACCGGTACAAAAATAATATTTCCAATGGTAGTATATATATTGTAGAATGAAGCTAAATTACTTTATCGCTCTCTGGACAACCAGTTCAACTTCCTTCCGTGAATATGAATGAAATAGAGGGAAAAAATTCCAGGAATTACCGAAACTTGAATACAAATTCGATACATAATTAATAATAAATGAAATATTGGATTGCCTAAACAGTTACTGAAAGAAGCGATAAATGATATGATACACAAAATTCAGAGTTAATTTATGCAGATAGGGAAAATGTTAAATAAATTACACACATAGCTCTTGGTTGGCTAGGACGTTCTAATGGTTTAACTTTCTTTTAAGATTTTGTGGAACCATATTACTAGTTTTATTTCAAAACTGGAGAATTTGAAGCCTAATTAATGTTTCAATGATTTTTCTAATGTATTTAATCATTATTTCAAATTCAAACCATATTAATAAAAAAATGTATTTAATGGAAGACTAAGTGGACATGTGTGTTATGGAACTATCTCAATAATTTGGATTTTCATGTTAGCTAGTTAATAAGATTAAAATTTGAATGTCAAAATTTGGATTCATGACATCATCAAACATAGGTTGTAACAAGAGCCACTTAATTTAAGGTAAGATTTTTCAAACTAAATGCTTATTGAAGACATACAAATGTGTTCTTTAGAGGGAGAAAATGTGATTATGAATGGAAAAATTAATAGAGTAACTAGTAACTTTATCACAACCAAATATAAATTATAGAGTATCTATGTGTATGGTGCTATAGAAAATAATAACGTACTTTTTATTAGTTATAGGTATTAAACACAAACTTAGTTCTAATGTTTAGATTTTAGCATGTGCAAGAGCACGGATTAATGACGGGTTAGTATCTTTAATATCAAATTATTAGTTTCACTAAATTATGCATGAAATATGTTTTGATAGTTCATGAATTTAAATTTGTAGATGTTAATATAGTTTCCTAAAAATTGAAAAAAGTCTACTTAACCCCCAAACTATTGGTAGTTGTCTCTACTTCACTCCTCACCTATAAAACCATGTATCCTACCCCTTAAACTATTAAAACCATCTAATAACTCCCTAAGGCAGTTTTAAAAGTGGTATCGTTGACATGGCATATTAAAAAGTCTAGATAACCTTCCTAACATATCAAGGATTGATTATATAACCCCCTCAATGATAAAACCTGATATTTTGCAACTCTTAAAGCATCTAATAATAATGTTCAAATGATCCCCAGATGGTCTTGTATGGGCGTTTGGAAATTGTAACCCACCACACTAGCCTAAGCACCCATGCTTGCATGCAAGCCTATTGGTTGTTGCCTCCCTCTCACTACCCTTTATAGGCTTGCACCACCGCCTGATGAGCACCACCCTATCTATTGCTCCACCTCATGACACTCCTCGATGTCACTGAGCTCATACGCCTGCGCCATCCGGCCCCTCCCACGTCTTCGCCCCTCTCTCTTTCTCCTCCTATGGCTACCTAAAAAACTAAAAGGATGACCGGATGGAGGATGTGGGAGGGGTCGGATGACGAGGGTGCTGGTGTGGTGCTTGAGATCAATGCTGTCGAGGAGTGTCGGGAGGTGGAGCAGGAGACAAGATGTCCCATGCTGTTCATTGGACGGTTAGTAGCCTATAAAGAGTATGTAGGTGGAGGCAACAAATGGGCCTGCATGCAAGCGTAGGTACTCATGTCAGTGTGACGGGATATGGAGCCGAAATAGTCCTACAAGACCATCCGGGGGTTATTTGAATATTACTAGACATTTTACGGGCTACAATATCATGTTTTATAGTTAAGGGGTTATGCAGTGTTAGAGGGTTATATAGACTTTTTAATATACTACATTAGCAAAATCATCTTTAAAACCGCCTCAGGGTTATTTAGATGTTTTTTTAATAGTTTAAGAGGTAGAATAACTGGTTTTATAGGTGATGGGTAAAGTAGACAACCATCGATAGCCGAGAAGGTTAAGTAAACTTTTTCTCTAAAAATTTGGTTAGAGACTTTTAATAAAAGCAACTATTTTTTTCATTAACATGTTGGGGAAAGGAGCCGGGACAAATA